GAGTGCCACTGTCGTTCTATTTCATGTGACGGACGAGGACAGAAGTCTGGCAAAACGACTTCTTGCGCTCTATGAAAAACTGTGTTTATTTTGGGAACAAATGGGTCCAGCCGAAGGACCACTCTGTCCTCATGAAATTTGCAAGAGTATAGATAGAAATATATGTAATAATAACAGTTAAACTGTGCAGAGCAAAGCCTGACTGGTGAAATTGTAAGCTTACAAAATGGCGTCCTAATCTAATGGTGATAATGGGCGTTTCCCTACTGAAAGTGCCTCAAAATGGCGGACGCCCTGAGCTCCGGTGGGAAGGGGGGAGAGAGGGATAAGAGAATGAGGCCTGAGGCAGTCAGAAGGTACCCAAAACAAATAGACAAAACAACTCGAGGCTTTTTAGAACTCAATTAGACCAGTTGCGCCTAACAGCTGTTAGGCGCAAAAAAACGGCTCACCGCTGAAAAGCGAACCTTCGTCTTTTCGAACGGCAGCAGGGAGACAAGCAATATTCCCCCCGTCGTTTGCTCCAAACTGTTAGCTGAGCTGTGCTGCGGCCGGAGAAACCTCGACGAAAATTGAATCTCCGCGGATTCAAAATGGCGGCCGCTATAGTTATCAGTAACCGGTCCCGGTTACAGAAGCCACGTGGCCTCCAAATGGCAGTCACCAGCTCAAAAGCACAAGAGCTTGCCGGGGGAAGAGAGAAACTCAATTCCCCTGTGACTGCAACGAAGGGAAATTCCCCCCCATTCAGTTAGCAAAGGTTTGGGAGCAATGCTGCTGAATTCAGGGGAAAGGAAACCACCACCCCCTATCCTGGAGGGGAATATTACTAGCCCTGAATGGAAAGGGAAAAAAGGACTCAGGTCTCCCAGGGAAGGGAATAATCACCCTTAATTCCCCCAACTTTCAGAAGAAGAATCCACCAATGGAGTAAGAATATCTAGTCTGACCTGCTATTTAAACACACTGAGAGTCAAGTTTCACGTCGTCATGGGCGAAAGACTAAGATGAAACTGGGAAGTCCCAGACAAAGAGGGGGCGTGACAACTTGACAACTTAGTCTGATTGGGCAGGAGGACTGAAATAACCCATTGGTGGATTCTTCAGTCATCCTGATGGAGAAAGTCCTGTTCTAGGTTGCTTCCAATTCAGGGAGCCCACGCAGTATTTATGCAGCTGATTAATGAGGTCCTCCCTGAGCACCTATATAAAGGGATTTTGGTGTACTTGGACAACATCTTGATCTACACCGAAACCAAAGCTGAGCATGTGAAATTGGTTAGAGCGGTCCTAAAAAAGCTCCGCGCCGCTAAACTGTATGCCAAACTCAAGAAATGCGAGATTCACAAGGATAGAATTGACTACCTGGGCTATCGCATTTCTTATGAGAGCGTGGAAATGGATCCAGAAAAAGTACAGGCGGTCATGGAGTGGAGGCCTCCCCGTACCAGAAAGCAACTGCAGAGCTTCCTGGGGTTTGCCAATTTTTAGCAACAGTTTATTTGCTCCTTTGCGCAGATTGCAGTCCCTATCACAAACTTGCTAAAAACTAAGGGAGGGGGAAAGCCGAAGCCTAGCCAGTCCCTAAAGTAGACAGCAGAATGTCGCTTTTGAGAAACCTAAAGAGACTTTTCTCCAAGGAATTGGCTGAAACACCCAGACCTGGGAAAACCCTTCATCATTCAGGCCAACACCAGCGATGTGGCAGTGGGGGTGGTGATATTACAAAAGAACCAACAGAGTCATCTGCAACCCTGCACTTACACCTCCAAAAATTATCTTAGACTGAGCAGTGTTGGTCTGCTTGGGAGAAGGAAGCTTATGCAGTGAGGTGGGCCCTCTTAACCTGGAGACATTTTTTAGAAGGGAATAAAATCCCTTTCTAAGTCTGGACTGATCACAAGAACCTGGAAGCTTTAAAAAACCCCAGAAGGCTATCTCTGAAACATTTCCACCAATTTAACTTCTCCATACACTACCTACCAGGAGGAAAAAACTTCCTGGCAGATGCTTTGTTGAGAATGCCTCAATATAACAGTGTGAAGTCAGAGGTAGTTAAACCTTTACTCTCCCTGCAGCAACTAGCAGCTCCAGCCACCATGAGGGCACAAGCTAAAAGGGCTCCTCCGCTGGATAATGAACTGCTGGGGGATTTCAAAAAGGCTTGGAAGGGGATGAATGGTTCCTCAATCATAAAAATCTCTGCTCCTTGCAGGAGGGCTTAGCCTGGGTTAGAAGAAAGTTGTATGTCCCTGCAAAACTAAGACTGAAAATCATGCAGGACTGCCATGATTCAAAGTTAGCTGGACATTTTGTGTTTGTGAAGACTATCCATTTGCTCAAGAGACAATTCTGGTCACCCTCTTTAAAGAAGGACATGGAATGTTATGTGGACAGTTGCCCCATTTGTGCTGCCGCCAAGTGGAGACAGGGAAAAATGCCTGGCCTCCTACAACCGGAAGCGAGCCCTTCAGCACCCTGGAGAGAGATATCCCATGGATTTTATTGTGGAATTATCTGAAAGCGCAGGAAACACTGTCATTTGGGTTATCACTGATCTGTTCTCCAAACAAGCCCATTTCATCCCTTGCCAGAAGATCCCAACCACAAAAGACTGTTTTTACATGATATCTACCATCTCCATGGTGCTCCAAAATGCATTGTCTCGGATAGGGGGGTTCTAAATTTTGGAAAGCCTTTTTGGATTTTTTGGGTTCTGTCCAGGGACTGTCATCTAGTCATCATCCGCAAACGAATGGGGGGACAGAGCGAATGAACTCAGTTCTAGAACAGTACCTCCACTGTATCATTAATAATCAGCAAGATAATTGGACTGATCTACTACCGTTTGCTGAGGTGGCTGGCTTATAACAATGCAGTCCATTCCAGTACTGGGTTTACACCTTTCCAGGTGGCAAATGATTAAAATTTCATCCCCATGCCTGAATTGCCTGCTAACGAACCTGCCATCCCGTCCCTTGAGGATTGGATTCATCAATTGCAGAACATCTGACCAGTTGTTAGAAAAGCTTTGGATGAAGCCAGAAAAGCCTATAAGGCGCAGGCTGATAAAAAGAGAATGGAGCCTAAGTCTTCCTATGTAGGGGATAGAGTTTATCTCTCTACTACGTTCTTATAGCCACTACAGCCATCTAAGAAACTGGGTCCAAAGTACATGGGCCCCTTTCCTATCAAGCACATAATTAACCCTGTTACAATGGAATTGGAGCTCCCTAAGAGTTTGAGACAAATCCACCCTGTATTCCATTGCAGTCTGTTGAAACCTGAGGTCGTTTCTAGGTTGCGACCCGTTGCTTCTCCTATCCCTCCACCTATCATGGAAGAGGGTGAACAGCATTTTGAAATTAAAAGACATTTTAGATTCCCGTAAGCATCATGGGCCCACACAGTAGCTTGGAAATATTTACCAGCATCGCAAAATGAATGGGTTTATAAGAAACATGTTACAGCTCCTAAATTGCTCAAACATTTCCACAAAAAGTATCCAGACAAACCTGACTAGTGGTTGTGTTTTTTTTCTATTTTGTTCTACAGGTGGATTTTCTTTCTATTGGGGGGGGCGTATATCAGGACCTCTCAATTATATTTGCTTGCTTCTGCATTCTATTTATACAGCTACCTCATCCATTTCCTTATCCTTCCCTGCTTTGCCTAGGTATCCATTTTCAGGGCCTGCCATACTGTTGGGAGGGGGATGATTTCTTGGGGAACTATTATCTGCTTTGCTTTGCTTTGCTCTGCTCTGTGTGAGAGGCCTCCCTTCGGGTGAGAGGAACGCGACCTGAAAACATCTGCCTTATCTCCAGACAACGGAGCCTGGGACCGTTGGGAAACGAAACCAAGAGAGACCTTGAGAAGCCCGCTGAAACTTCAGCTTCTCATAACATGGTGGCACCTGTGGATTGGATGGATTTCAACCGGATGGTTGGACACTGGGGAGAGGAGTTGTGAACTGTCTTTTTGATGTAACCCTTTACGTGCCAAATCTCAGACCTTGCTTTGCTCTTTTGCTATCACTATCTCTCAATAAAAAGTTCCTTTTGAGACAATGCCTGTTTCAAGAGTTCTGTTTTCTTGGGAGATCTAGTTGAGGCAATCCTTACAAGTTCATTTCAACTCACCGTTTGACCCTGAATTGGGTCACTGTCAGAATCATCTATTTTGCAACAGCTATGCACTGATAACCCTCTAAATGTTCACAAAAAGGGTAAATATGATTCTTCCTATTATTATTGCCAAAATTTTAAATTCTTTGTAAAACTGAAAAATTAAGAAGCAGTTTTCTTCCAGATACTATTCACAGGGAAAGAGCACCCAAAATTGTACAATCTTTGGCTAAACGTTTGTGTGCTTTTAAAGTAGTTCTTAACAACTTATTCACATGATTCCTAAATACTGTATTACAAATTATTCTTCCCTTGATATAACTAAAATTATATATAATTATAACTAAAGCTATAACTAAAATATAATAATTTAAATAATTATTGTATAGGTAGTCCTTGGTTAATAACCATTTGTTCAACAGCCATTTGAAGTTACAATGCTACTGAATGAGAAAACTTATGGCTGGTTCTTGAAGTTGTGACCAGTCCAGTGATTGCTGAGTGACCATGATTTGGTGCTTCGCAATTGGTTTGCAATTATGATGGTCGTAGCATCCTGCGATCATGTGATTGTTTCCCACAAAGTTAATGGGGAAGTCAGCAGGGTTGCAAATGGGATCACATGACTGGAGAATGCTGCTACATGTGTAATTCACCTACTGCTGGCAAATAGGACTGCCAGAAATGCTGTCATGAGTAAGTGTGGTTACATAAGACTGCACTGCTTAGCAATGGAGTTCTTGGTTCCAATTACCACTGTTATGTGAGGACTACTTGTATTCCTAACACGGTGAAAAAAGAATTACAACAAAGCTTTGATATGTTAAGGAAGACTGGGTGGTTCCATAATAGTTTTAGTCATTACTTACTTACCTCAAGCATATTATAGATGATGTAGAGTTTAATTACAGACTGTCCTCTTATCAGATGGTACATCATGGAATAGTCAACATAGTGCATCATGAAGTAGCAAATTACAAGTATTACCCCCTTGAAAATATCACACACCTGGGCTGGTTGCAGCAGGCGTCTATCGCTGAAATATAAAATTACACAAAATAAAGAGCACATTTGATACAGATGAAGTCATTGATTACTAAATAAATTAGCTTCCCTGCAGAAAGAGCACTATTAGCACTTGCTTGGGTTTCTTCTTCTTCAACTGGCAGATCCCTTTCTGTTAGTCTAATACAGGGGTGTCAAACTGCCGGCCCGCAGGCTGGTTGCACCATGAGGAGGCTGTGCCCACCCCCGTTTCCAGAAATACAAAAAAAGTCATGATACCTCACAACACGTCACGTGACGCGGTAAGTTGACACCCGTGGTCTAATAGGATGAGATGGCAGCTGGCTTCTGTTTTTGTGACCTGTTTCTATTTTAGAGGTTTTTTTTACTTTTACTCATGTCATTTAGAGATTGCTAGCCTCAATTGTACAAACTTCTTAAGCCTTTGAAGCTGAAAGTTAATAGTCTATTAATTTTAGAGACATATATGAAGAGCTAACTAAGCACTAATATTTTAGTGAGAAAACCTGTTTTTTCAAATTAGAGAACTATATCACCTTCACTTCTACTGCAAGTAACTATAGTTTGAAATTTTGTGAATGTTTTCCTGATGGTTCAGAATCCTTTGTAGTGTTTTCAAGAGCAATTAATTCCACATTAAAGGATCCACAAAGTGTCCCAAGGAGTTTCTAAGTCTCTATTAAGTGGTTGGCTTACCTAAGAGAAGACCCAGCATGAAGCTGTCCCAAAGACCAGGAGAGGAATGGTTGAGTTTTAACCACAAAATGAATGCAGAAATGTTCTTCCACCTTATCCTGCCACATTGTTCATGTGATCTTCAGTATTAGATTTTATTTCAACTATGCAAAATTCATGTTAGAGGTACTGGAAAATGGAAAGCAGGCAAGCAAACCCTCTAGCCCTCCGCTTGGTATACTTTTCATTATTCTTTTTTTTAAATGACCCTTGCATTTACTCCTGCAAGGTTCAGTCTGATTTTATAGAAATCAGAATTCCTCAGTAACATTTGTTGAACTCCCAAGTCTGGGTTCCAAAATCATACTGTTCACAACATCCTTCTGCCTTTATACCATAATTAAGGACAGAGGCAATTTACTCCTCCTGTTTGGTGTAGTAGTTAAGGAAGCCCATGAGTCAGGCCATGAAGCCAGCTGAGTGAGCTTGGGCCAGCCATTTCCTCTCAGCCCTAGGAAGGAGGCAAAGATAAACCATTTCTGAAAAACCTTGCCAAGAAAATTGCAAGGACTTTTTCAGTCAGTCTCTAAGAATCGGATACAATTGAACAGAACCAAAAAAAACTCCAAGTACATTTTGTCTTCTTTAGCAAAAATTTAAAATATCTAAGTTAAATCAAATCTGATAAATACAAAAATGCATTCTAATTTTTAACTATCACAGAGTAGATGCCTATAAAAATATGTGTAGAAAAATCTAGAGAATTATACAGCTACTCTGAAATTCACATAAAGATTTTGCCAAACTCACTTTATATCATCCTCAACAGCCAAAGCTATCCTAAATAAATTCTACACATAAACAGAGTCAGTTCCAGCTGCTGGTTAAGACTATATCAAGGTACAAGGCTGACCACAAACAAAGTCAGTAAGACCACGGAACAAGGATAGATGTTATACAGTATCCAAGATCCTGGATGTTTTGCATCTGTGCCCAGCAACTCCACCTGCTATGAAGCTGCTACAAACCAGGGTTTTTTAAAATTCAGATTTTAGATTAAGTTATGATTTGAAGCAACACCTTAATCCTGCCAAATGATTTAGATCAGGGAACACATTCTATTAAAGAGGCTTCTCTACCAATCTCTTATGTTCCAAAAACAGAATAGAAAATAACTAGCAATAGTTCTTAGTTAGCTACCACAATTGGGATCAGCAACTCAGTTGTTGATAACTAAAAAAGTGACTCAGCTTAATCTCTGGCATGTCTCCTTTTCTGCTGCGCACGCTTGTCACACCTACGCTGGCGTGGATCCAGCCACAACGTATCTTCATCACTATCCGAAACACCTGGCTCCTGGCCAATCTCAGAACCACCTGGCTCCTGGTCAATCTCTTCTCCGTCAGGAGACACCTGAGGCATTGCCAAAGAGGAGGGTCCTGGAGAGGGAGGCCTGGCCATCTCCTCTCCTTCATGTTCGGAGCCTTCTTCCTCCGATAAGAGGGGCTCACAAGATGGAGCCACAACACTATCCCCCACCGCAGGGCCCTTCCCCCGGGTCTGCCGGTCAGGATGTGGTCGGGATGGGAACCGATTGTGAAAGGCCTGTACCAGGTCAGGGGCCTGAACGGAAGAAGCGTCCACCCAGCTGAAATCCTCGGGGCCATATCCCTTCCAGGCGATGAGGTATTGGAAGCGCCCCATCAGCCAACGGGAGTCCCGGATACGGTCCACCTCGTACGTCGAGGTGTCTTCCTCATCGGCTGCGGCTGGGGGGGCAGGCGTCGTCAGGCATCGCAGATGGCTCGCTGGGGCCTCAGGGACCAGGAGGGACCGATGGAAAACGGGGTGGATCCGCATGGAGCGTGGTAGGGTCAACCGGTAGGCCACCAGGCTGATGACTGCCTCGACGGGGAAGGGACCGATAAAACAATGGTCCAGTTTCTTCACCGGCCGGTCCGTTGGGAGGTGTTTCGTGGACAGCCACACCCGATCTCCGACTGCCAGCGGTGGCGTTGCCCGTCGGGAGCGGTCGGCGACCCGTTTATAGTCCTCTTTCGCCCGGATCAGCTGCCGCCTCACCAGTTGCTGCTCCGCCTGCAGCTCCGAGAGGAAGTCCTGGGTCTCGGGAACAGGGGAATCCGAGATGGACAACGGGAAAAGCCGTGGATGGTAGCCGGCGGCATGGAACGGGGTCATCTGGGTGGAGGTGTGTTGGGAGTTGTTGAAGGCGAACTCCGCCAGGGGAAGGTACTCGGCCCAGTTGTCCTGCCACTGGTTGACGAAACAGCAGAGGTACTGCTCCAGGATGCCGATGACCTTCTCCGTGCCCCCGTCAATCTCTGGATGGTGCGACGATGACAGGCACACATGCACCTCCAGCGCAGCCATTAGGCTTTTCCAGAAGTGGGCCGTGAACTGGGCTCCGCGGTCCGACACCACCCTGTCTGGCAGGCCATGGAGGCGAAAGATGTGCTGCAGGAACAGACGGGCCGTGGTGCGGGACGATGGCAGTCCACGGCACGGGATGAAATGGGCCATCTTGGTGAGCATGTCCACCACCACAAGGACGGTCGTGAACGTGGCGGAAAGTGGTAGACCTGTTAGGAAGTCCATGGAGATGGCACCCCACGGTCTCTCCGGTGTCGGCAGCGGCTGGAGGAGTCCCGGCAATGGGCCGGATGCGGGTTTAGCCTGTCGGCATGTCGCACAGGACGTCACGTACACGTGCACGTCATGCCGTACCCGAGGCAACCAAAAAGTCCGTGTCATCAAGTGCAAGGTCTTAAAGAGGCTAAAATGCCCCGCCGCGGGGTTGTCATGGCACTGGTTCATGACGAGGGCTCGGAGCGGACTCGTAGGCATGTACAGCCGGCCCCGGTGTTTAAGCAAGCCTTCCTCCAAGGTCCAGGGGGACGCTGGGCCGACTTCCGCTTTCCGTTGCTGTGACCAGTCATCACGGCGCTGCGCTTCCAGCACCCGAGCCCGCAAGTCTACCGGTTACTGGACCGCGGCCAAGGATTCTGCTGGCAGCACAGTCCGTGGGGGAAGGGAGTCCTTGGGGCAGAAGTATTCCAGCTTGCGGGATAGCGCGTCCGCCCTCTGGTTGAGGTTGCTCGGAATATACACGACGTGGAAGTTGAACCGGGCGAAAAACAATGACCACCGGATCTGCCGCTGGTTCAACTTCCTGGCCGTGGTGAGATGCTCAAGGTTCCGATGGTCCGTCCGCACCTCCACCTGGTGTCGGGCCCCCTCAAGGTGATGCCGCCAAGCCTCGAACGCGGCCTTGATAGCCAGCAACTCCTTTTCCCAGATGGTGTAGTTGCGCTCGGAAGGATTGAGTTTCCGGGAGTAATAAGCGCAGGGAAAAAGAGTGCCGTCATCCACCGGGGCCTGTAGCAGTACCGCTCCAATCGCCACATTGGACGCATTGGACGGTGTGGATTGGGATGCCTCAGGACCGGCTCCGTGATGAAGGCCTGCTTGAGGACCTCGAAGGCCTGCTGCTGCGGGGGCCCCCACTGGAACGGGACCTTCTTCCGAAGGAGTTGGGTCAGCGGCAAGGTCAAAGTGGCGAAGGCCGGGATGAAGGTCCGGTAATATTTGGCGAACCCCAACAGACGCTGGACATCTTTCACCCGATGTGGGGGTTCCCAACTGCGCAAGGCCTCCACCTTGCGCGGGTCCATCGCGATGCCCTCGGGGGTGATGATGTGCCCGAGGAACTCTATGGAAGTCTGGAAGAAGTAACATTTCTCCAACTTCGCATAGAGTTGGTTCTCCCACAGGCGCTGCAGGACCTGGCGGAAATGCTGGAGGTGGCTCTCCTGGGTCTGGGAATAGATCAAAATATCATCCAGGTAGATCACCATGAACCGGTCCAACATGTCCCGAAACACGTCATTGATCAGGTGCTGGAAGACCGCGGGGGCGTTGGTCAACCCGAACGGCATGATGGTGTACTCGAAGTGGCCGTATCGGGTGCCAAACGCCGTCTTCCACTCGTCCCCCTCTCTCACGTGCACCAGATTGTAGGCCCCTCGGAGATCGAGCTTGGTAAAGATCGAGGCCTCCCGCAACCTCTCCATCAGCTCCGGGATGAGCGGCAGGGGGTAGCGATTCTGCACTGTCATGGCATTCAAGCGCCGGTACTCACAGCACAGGCATAAGTCCCCCGTCTTCTTCTTCACAAAGAGGACCGGGGCCGAGAGCGGGGAGGACGAAGGCCGGATGAACCCTCGGGCCAGGTTCTTGTCCAGAAAGTCCCGTAGGGCGTCCAATTCGGGCTCCGACATGGAATACAAGCGGCCCGCGGGCAGTGGCGCATTGGGC